TTGTTGTTGTTGTTCTAACATTACATTTATATGCACATTGATGCATTTAAGGGAGAGGCATAGCCTTTTGAGAAGTACTCTCCTCTGTTTCCCTATCAAATCCCAAATCCAAATTAATAGCAAATCTGCCCCGTCATGTCATATCTATGTAAATCTCTGTTTAATTCTTCTGCTTCTTGGTTTTGTAATTTGGTTGTTTTCAACATCTCGGAGTGGTTAGATCTTTTTCAATTGTCATTATTAACCTGTGCTTATTTGTTTCATGTGGAGTTTACTTTTTCCCTATGCTCAAACAAATCAAACAGTTATGTGCTGATTGCAACACCTGGCTTCACCATTACCCCAGAGCTCTATAAAGAAAAAGGACCGCTAGCAGCCCATGGACTATTGGACTTCTGTTTGTTTACATTTTAAATATACCTTTTTAAAATGTTATTGTACAGGTATAAAGCTGTAGGCATTAGATTGGACTCTGGTGATCTTGCTTATCTATCGTGTGAAGCCCGGAAATTCTTTCAGGCTATTGAGAAGGAAATTGGAGTGTCTGATTTTGGAAAGATGAGCATCACAGCTAGTAATGACCTGAATGAAGAAACAATAGATGCTTTAAACAAACAGGTAAAGGCATTGGGCATTAATCGTTAAAAGGTTTAGTACTCCCCCATTATAACTTTTCATAGCCTTGGGGCTAGTGCAAATTATGGAACTATGAAAATTTCTATATTTCCGTGTTGATCAGACCACCATACTTCTTGACTGGGCTATGTGTCATTTCAATCTGGTTCACTTCGAATGCATTAATGGCACTAATAATCTGTGGTGCTTTTACCAATTTTACTAATTATTTTTAAAATATACCAAATCTTTTCACTTACAAAATTACTTAAGGAGTTGTCGAACAAGGTCATTCTGCAATTGTAAAAGAGACTTTAAAATTAAGTGCTGAATGTAAAAAATGAGACCATTTTATCCAGTTCAGATGAAAGAGAACTCCAATGCAACATCAATAAAGTGATATAAATTATCTAGTTCTATGGTCTATGAGTAGCTTGCATTTTTTAATCATTGCTTAGTTTTCTTCTTGAAGCTAAAAAATGGACAAGAATTCGAAGCTAATCTAAATGTATAGCTGAGCAAGCTCTTTTACATGTCCCAAATCCCTGCCTTCTTAGATCTTCTGAATAATGCATTACAAAATGATATTTTTTTCTCTTTCCATTTCCACATTCTGCACTAAATCCACAATCCCTTCCCCACCATCCCCATGGTACTTTGTGCTGAATGGGAGTGAAGGAGAGATGGTACAGGCTGAACGTTGGTAAAATTTTCAGAAGATGGGTAATATCTAATTTGTTGCTTATTGATTGTGTTTCATGTCGAATTTTCCATTGCCAATTTCCTACCTAAACATATGCAGTTCATGGCTTGTATATTTTGCAGTTGCCAACTTCTATTTATTTCGGGTGCAGGGTCATGAAGTTGATGCATTTGGAATTGGAACTCATTTAGTTACATGTTATGCTCAACCTGCTCTGGGTGTTGTATTTAAATTGGTGGAAATAAACAATCAGCCTCGGATAAAACTTTCTGAAGACGTTTCAAAGGTTTGATCAATCCATGAGATATCTCTAAATTTATATTGCATGTTAGTTCTATTGTAAATGTCCATTATGCTCTGGTTTCAGGTTTCTATTCCATGCAAAAAACGATGTTACAGATTATATGGGAAGGATGGTTATTCCCTTGTAGACATAATGATTGGAGAAAATGAACCACCTCCAAAGGTACTTTCTATGTGAATGGATTTTCTTTCATCTTCTTCCCTCGTGCCTTCGAAATCAAATTTAGTAAGCCCTTGTTTGATCCACGTTATTTTCAATCTTCAATAAAAGAATATTACATGCAAACCCAAAATGCATTTTTAGCAAAAAAAANAAAAAAAATGGGTCTCAAACATGCTCTAAATATGTCGAAGTGTAAAAAAAAATTCATCTACATTTTCAATCTAAAATTTGGTCCTTGTTTGTCTTGGCATGAGTTTTAGGAAATAGATTAAAACATTCACAAGCACATGGTCTTAGATTTGGCCTGAAATGCTTCTATCATTACTTTTATAGATCTCATATATGTATGGGTTAAATAGGAAGTTATCAACTCTTATGCTAATTTCTGAATCCTCTATAGTATCCTAATTCATTATTCTTCTAATCATGTAAAACTTCATAATTGATTTATAACCTGATTGCTCTAATCTGTCATTATCAGCTTACCCTTTTATGGATACACAGGTAGGTGAAAGAATATTGTGTCGTCATCCATTTAATGAATCCAAGAGAGCACACGTGGTACCACAACATGTTGAGGAGCTTCTGAAGTGTTTTTGGCCTGGTAGTTCAGGTTAGAGTTTTTGGCCTCTTAGCCTAGTTAACCAGTTGCTTGGCAGTGCTGAACCACTATCAACTGCATGGGGGTGTTACGGCCATTATTTGTGTCATGCATATTGCTTGGCAATGCTAAACCCAGGGGATTCGTGAATCTCTCAGTGATACACTAATTTGGAAAGCTAAATTTGGCTATTTATGCTAATTTTGTTAAACTTACTATGGTTGCAATTGATTTCCAGCGGATAAATTATAGTTGCAATTGATTTCCAGCAGAAAGTCTCTATAGAACCCTGCGACAAGTTTTATTTACACATTAATAAATTTACTCTGACAATTGCTTATTTAGGGATTAGAATTGTGTAGTTTATCTGAAGCTTACCCCCATCCTAGAGTATTTTTCATAGGATAACTTTGTGTTATGCATATCACATGTAAGATATAGTTCTTTTCGCCCTATTTTTGATTGGGGTGTGTTGTTGGTGGGTCAATGAACCATAACTGAAGGTGCTAGACTGTCTTAGTTAGGACCTCACTCCTCTTATCTCTTCCTCGGTACTTCACTTCTAGTCTTTACGAATACTGGCCTAGAATGTTTGGAAGTTAACTAGTACCTTGTTTAAACTATGCGATTTTTAAAAAGCTGCTTTTGTTGATTTTTCATGCCACTAACGACATCCATTTTCCGGCTTTTAAAGGAAAAGCTAGAGAAGAATTACCCCCTATTAAGTTGATCAGAGAACGTTGTATTAAACAACTGGACCAGATGCGGACCGATCACATGCGAAGGTTGAACCCAACTCCTTACAAGGTATGATCAACAAATTACACCTTACGCCTTACTCTAAAAGTCTTCGTTTATAATGTAGTGATATTTTTTGTCTCTCTTCATCTTAAACACTACCTCTATAACCATTAAATGTGTTGTGCTTTGCATGGCTTGTACACTGATAATAACACGAGCAATGCTATATGTATATAACTGTTTACACACTGTCTTACACTCCTCTCACATGTGTCGGCCCCTCTCCATGTGAAGGGGGTGTGAGGCTGTGTGTATACCTCAAGATGAACACATAGCATTATTCTAATAACATTCTCTCGAATTTCTCTAGCTTATATGATTTTTGGGCAGGTTAGTGTAAGTGCAAAGTTGTATGACTTCATCCACTTCTTATGGCTCAATGAAGCGCCCGTTGGAGAGTTGCAGTGAAAGTTTCTAGTGACACGCTGAGTGAGATATAAGTATAAAAATACCTTAGAAGCTGATGAATCTCTCTTTGCTGACAGTAGAGTTCACATGTTTCTATATTGATTGAAGAATAATGTTTTTTTCATTTTCCTGTTTAGGTTTTTGTTCAAGAGAAGTATACGTGTAAATATGCTTCTTTTCTAGTCTTGTCTAATTTCATTAACAGCATGTAATTTTTACAAATGTTCACAAGGGAATTCAGTGCATTCTTGAAAAGTTAATAAGTTCTTCTTTTCTTGTTTGGTTATACGAGATGATATCTAAATATTGAAATCTGAAAAGATGAAGTTCTGCTGGGCACTCAATTCTTTTTCCATTAGAGATGCTAATTGATGGTCATACTGGTAGTTGACAAGGCCAGCACTCAATTCTTTTTCCATTAGAGATGCTAATTGATGGTCATATTGGTAGTTGGCAAGTACATTAAAGTATGGAATTGGATAGAATTCGTCCAAAAAGACCATTTGTGCACGAGCCTAGTAGGTTGAGGGGGACATTGCCC